CCGACACTCATCCATTGTTCATCCATTATTTGTTTCATAAATGTATTTCTTATTTATTAAATTTAGTTTATTTTCTTGTTCTAGTGTCTGCACCACACAGGCTTCATGTTAAATTGTATATGAACTGAGGAGTTACCCGGTATGAGCACGGTCGAGGGCCAATTAATTCAAAGTTCTGAGAAGCTTTGTTTGCCCTCAAAAATCAGTCTACAAAATTTGACATTTTCCACCCCCCCCCCCCAAACGCACTGGTTCTTATTTCCTTTATATTATGTTTGACCCTAATGTTCATATCTATAGGTGTTCCTCCATGACTCATATATCTTTTACGGATAACAGCTTAGTTATATTCTAAACTGTACTCCGTTTTTGTTTGCTATAGTTAAAAGAAAGGAAACAATAGACAAAGGAAAGCACAAGATATATGTCGTCTGACACTAAATCTTTCTATGCAAGTGCAGAAATTATGTTAGATACGAACATTGATTTACTGCAATCGCAGTTCTGGGCCACCATAATCTTCTGAGTCAGACGCCACATTAAAATATAATGTTATCGACTTCCCTCCCAATCTTCCACCCAGTCTTTCTCTCTTTCCTCCCCATTCCCGTCTCTGATTTCTGTCTCTTTGTTTGCCTGTTTATCTGTTCTCTCTCTCTCTCTCTCTCTCTCTCTCTCTCTCTCTCTCTCTCTATCTATCTATCTATCTATCTATCTATCTATCTATCTATCTATCTCTAGTTAGTACTTTTCAATTATAAAAACAGCAAATAACATAATATGCTTTCTAGCAGATTCTCACAAATTTTAAAATATAATTAACAAAGTTTTCCCGTCCCCAGCAACAATGATTCCCGCGGCAATTCTTGTGGGTCTTGGGGCAGCTCCACTTTGGTCAGCCAAATGCACCTACTTGACCCAGGTCGGGGTCTGGTATGCAAGGCTGACCAATCAAGACAAAGATGGCGTCATCAACTCATTCTTCGGATTTTTCTTCCTCTTTTTCCAGAGTGGTGAGATACGGTGTTATCTACACATTAAACAACAATCATTTGTGAGGCAGCGTGGTGGAATCAGGCTCTCGTCAAAATAATCAAAGTGAAGAAACCTGCTTTTTTCTGTTGGTTTGTGAATTTTTATCAAATTTTGATTTTTGGCTCAACACCTTTCATGCCCATTAAAGAACTCACTTCTGTGTGGATTTTACTGAAAAACGTTGATGAAAGGAACAAAACAAGTAAATTTTCAGTTACCACGGACTCTTAAGCTAAGGAAATAACAAATCTTTAGCGGCCATTTTCTCACTAATTTTACCTCTGAAAACAGGTGACCCCCACCTCTTTCATTCGCAAATATCTTTAATTGTATTCAAGATAAATGGATATTTCTTTCATCCAAATAAACACAAGTGAACAAGCTTTAAGATGATACCAATAACTCTACATGCCCAAAAATTGACGAGAGCCTGATTCCACCACGCTGCCTCACAATTGATGTTTTTTGTGGCTTTAGTTATTCTCTGTTTATTGGACTTCTTCATGAATTCGTTTATTATAATACAATTAATATAACATGAAGCCGTGGGTACTTTAAACAATGAATAGGGGTGGAAGAAATTTATGGAAATAAACCTGTAGCGCATGTCCCAGTGGTCGTCGAGATTACGGGTTTGATGATGATGATGATGATGATGATGATGATGATGATGATGATGATGATGATGATGATGATGATGATGATGATGGTGATGATGATGAGGATGAGGATGATGATGATGATGATGATATTTGTTCAATTACGTGTATTAAGATTCAATTTTTTAAACGCATACGATATCCCAGTACTGTTTTAAGGTATGAATCGGTGCGTATTTCTAATGACTTTTACGAATAGCATAAAAAAAAAAAAAAAAACCCAGGCGGTGACAATATTCTGGTTTCTGGATCCGGTTGTGGTGATGATGTTCCTAATGTTGTTGCTGATGTTGTTGTTGCTGATGTTGTTGCTAATGTTGTTGCTGCTATTTCTGCTCTTGTTTTTGTTGCTTTTATTGTAGTTATTATTAATGTTATTTTTATTGCTGTTGTTGTTGTTGTTGCTGTTGTTTTTGGTGGTGCTGCTGGTGATGGTGAAGGCGGTTTGTTTCTTTGGCCGATTTGATTTTGGAGGCAATTTTTTTGTGGTTGGCTTTCTTGGGCCTGATAATTTTCTTTCCTTCTCGTTCTGTTGCCATCAGAACGGTTTTCTTTATCTTCATCATCATAATCATTGACGTTCTCTCTCTGGGTCAGGATATAGGCCACGAAAAAACACTTTCCATCTATCCTGGGCTAACCTCTTGATGTTATTCGATGTCGTCACACGTTCTTGTACACCTATTTCTGTGACTCTTCTCCGGGTCCAACATGGTCTTCACCCTGATCTTTTACCCCGTGGGTTCCAATCCAATTTCTATATTTTCTCTCTCTCTCTCTCTCCATCTCTCTCTCTCTCTGTCTCTCTCTCTGTCTCTCTCTCTCTCTGTCTCTCTCTCTCTCTGTCTCTCTCTCCCTCTCTCTCTCTCTCTCTCTGTCTGTCTCTCCCTCTCTCTTTCTCTCTCTATCTGTCTCTCCCTCCCTCCCCCTCTCTCTTTCTCTCTCTATCTGTCTCTCCCTCCCTCCCCCTCTCTCTTTCTCTCTCTATCTGTCTCTCCCTCCCTCCCCCTCTC